CTCTTCGCTAAGCTTCTCATAATGAATCCACCTACGACGTTGTTGTTGTCGGCTCTGGCTGTTCAGGGCTGACTGCCGCTTTCGTTGCGGCAAAGCATGGACTTAAGGTCATGGTCTTGGAGAAGTCGCAGTACTATGGTGGCACCACCGCCTACTCTGGCGGAGGGGCGTGGATACCGGCCAACAAGCATCAGGCCGCGATCGGTGTAAAGGATTCGGCAGCTCAAGCAGATGTCTATCTTCACGAGGTGCTGGGCGACCTTTACGACGCCCAAAAAATCCCGACATTCCTCGAATCAGCTCCTGAGATGGTGAAATGGATGGAGGAGAACTCGGCCGTACGCTTTAAACCTGTCCCTCTACCTGACTACCATGTCTCGAAAAAGGGTGCCTCGGCAGGCCGCACCATCTTGACGGAAAAGTTCGACGGACGTCAACTGGGTGCCTTGATCAAGCACGTTCGCTATCCAATACAGGGCTACTCTGCGTTTGGTTCGATGCAAGCGGATCCAGAGGAATTGCCGGTGGTGACCAACCCATTCGGTAGTATCACTAATCTGGCCAAGGTGACCAGGAAAATGCTTCGCTATGCAACGGATATCGCTCTCTATGGCAAGGGAACCGACATGGCGAATGGCAACGCTCTTGTGGGAAGGCTGTTGTTTTCTGTGCAGCAGCAAGGGGTGCACTTGCGGAATAATACTTCTGCCACCAACCCGGTGATGGAGGATGGTCGTGTCGCAGGTGTTCAGGTTCTCCATCAAGGCAAAGAGACAACAGTTTACGCTCGCAGGGGAGTGGTCCTTGCCAGTGGCGGCTTCGGCAGGTCGGAGGAGGCCAAACAGTATGTCCCCCACGAATGGTGCGCATGCCCGCGAGGCAACACAGGAGATGGCAAGCGGATTGGGGTGGCCAGCGGCGGTGCTCTGCCGCCCAAGAACCCATCGAATGCCATCTTCGCTCCTATCTCTCTACTGTCTGCTCCAAGTGGTCCGGTGCGCCGCTTTCCACACTTTGCGATTGATCGATCCAAGCCAGGGTCTATCATTGTTGGACCCGACGGCCGACGATTTGCAAACGAGGCGGAGCCGTACCAGGAGTTTGTCAGTGCTATGCACCAGAAGGGCATTGAGAAGGCGTACTACATTGGTGACCGCTCGCATCTTCGCAAATATGGCATGGGCATGGCTCTGCCTTGGCCGTATCCAATCTGGAAGCTCCTGCGACAAGGGTATCTGATCTCCGCGCCTACGATTCCCGCACTAGCTGAGAAGATCGGTGTTCCCGTCCAAGCCTTGACGCAGACAGTTTCCGAGTATAATACGTTCGCTGATACGGGAGTCGACACACAGTACCACCGAGGCGAGACCGCTTACGATCGCTTCTACGGCGATCCCCAGGTGCAACCAAACCTGAATCTGCAACCTTGCACGACGGGTCCATTCTATGCGCTCCCACTCTACCCCGGCAACGTCAGCACTCTGTTCGGGTTGATAACAAACAACGACTCGCAGGTGCTAGACCGGAATGGCCAAACTATCAAGGGGCTTTACGCGGTAGGCTGTGATCAGAACAGTGTCTTTAAAGGGGCGTATCCAGGAGGGGGCTCCAGCATTGGGCCGGGAATGACATTCGGTTACCTAGCAGGGAGAAGACTGGCTCAAGATGGCTCTTGAATCTACCCATCACGTCGTCATGGGAAACATTTCACCCATACAAACGTTGGACAATTCGCCGGGAGCTGTTAGTCTCTGCTCCGTTCTGGTCGGCAACTTAGAACGAAAGTCAGGCGCCGAGAGACTCGCTTCGTGGTTTGAATGGTGACATCCGAGGGCGAGGGGCCGGGTGCCCTTTAGGTAGTCTAGGCTCCGAAAGCATTATTTACATAGATGTACAGATACATCCCTCGCATAGCTGCAAGGGGAATACTACGTTGGCGAGCATTTGGTGAACCACCTGTCTGTGGCCTGACAAGTAGGTGGCAAAATTGATCTGTTCCAGTGTCGGTCTGGCATTCCCAGCTCAGTGTCCGGAGTCACATCTCGGAAAACTTTAGACGCACGAAGTTACTTGTACAAGTTGTATGACCGTTCCACAGGAGGACGGGCCAACTGACCGGCTGGATTTCCACCAAGCTTCTGAGCAGCTGTTTCGTGCTGCCCCGACTTCACGGAGAAACCCCCAGTCTACACGCCCGTGAGGTTGCTAGTCTACAAGTGAAAGGCATTTCCGACTTTAGTCCTCGGGCTATCTTTGATTAACCCCAGTACCCCAGCCGATGGTCTTGTATCAGAACCAGTATCCTCTATTCTATGGAAAAAGACTCGCCGCAATTGAAGTCCAATAATATGTGGACGCCCCCATCTGAAAAGTTGAAGGGTCGAAGTTGATGGTGAAGTTTTACAGACAGCATGGCAAGCCTGTTTTGCTCGCGTTTGGGTCGAGCCCCTCGTGTCAGGCCGGCGGGCCCGTCACTTCTTCTCACACGTCTGGAGCGGCCTTGCAACATAGGCTTATCTCGCTCGATCTACACCTCACGCAGAGCCGTCGTACCGACATCGAGCAGGCGTAATGCGGCCACCAACAACACCAAAGCTTGGTTAAAGGCGAACAGTCCTGTCGGCATCAACAAGCTGGGAAATGGTACTATACGCTGGATGTCTTCGTCAGTACAAAGTTCTCGGGACTCTCCACTCGAAACCGAGTTCCTGGTTGTCGGTGCAGGCCCAGCGGGTGCAGCTCTGGCGTCCTTCCTGACGAGCTATGGTAGAGTGGTTTCATCCTCGCACTCGAGTAAACTAGAGAGCTGACTGGCACAGGTCTGAAAGGTGTCATGATCAGCAATGCCCCCGGGACAGCCAACACTCCCCGCGCCCATATCACGAACATGGCAGCATTGGGTACGTGCCCAAAGCCTTACATGAAGAGAATGGTGGTAACTGAGCTAGGTTAAGAGTGCCTCAGAGATATTGGCCTTGACAAAGACTTGGAAAATCTCTCCTCCAAGGGGGACTGCATGATTCATACCCGATGGTGCCATAGTATGGCTGGTGAAGAGTACGCGCGGATCTATTCGTGGGGCAATGATCCTGAGAGAAAGGTCAGTAATGGGGACATGGCGTGAAGCATTGTCCAGTCCTCTAACCACTGCAAGCCTACAGGGAGACTACGAAGCTGCCAGTCCATGTTCACCGGTGGACATACCCCAGACACTGCTTGAGCCAGTGCTTGTTCGCCGCGCCACTCTGGGGGGCTTCAAGACAAGATTCGATACGACGCTGCTGTCCTTTGAAACTGATCCCACGACCGGGCTGATCACAGCCAATGTGCGGGACAATCTCTCGTCCCTGGAGTACCAGATCCGGACCAAAACCCTGTTGGGGGCCGACGGTGCACGCAGCCAGGTCGTGAAGCAACTCGATCTTCCACTTTCGGTCCAGCCGGGTCAAGGCATGGCAATCAACGTGCTGGTGAAGGCCGACCTGTCCCATTTGGTCAAACATCGACGAGGAAACTTGCACTGGGTCCTGCAGCCAGACAGAGAGCATCCCGAATTCGGCATGATGGGGATTGTGCGCATGGTCAAGCCATGGAACGAGTGGATGTTTATTTTACTGCCGACTCGAGACTGCGACCCTCAGATCTCCCCATCCAAAGAGGAATACCTCCAGAGAGTGAGAGACTTCATTGGTGACGATACGCCTGCCGAGATTATCGACATCTCCAAGTGGTTCATCAACGAGATTGTTGCAGTCAAGTACTCCGAAGGGAATGTGTAAGTCCAGGTGTCTTTGATCTGACGTTCTTGACAGCTGACATTTTGGTTCCCCCACAAAACAGTTTCTGTCTTGGAGACGCAGTCCACCGTCACCCTCCCTTCAATGGTCTCGGGTCCAACACATGCATTCAAGATGCTTTCAATCTGGCCTGGAAGCTGGCCTACGTCCATCGCGGCCTGGCAGATCCTTCACTGCTCTCGACCTACAGCATCGAGAGGCAGCCTGTGGGCCACCAGATCATCACGCGGGCAAACGATGGATTCCGCGACCATTTTCAGATCTGGGAGGCGCTGGGTGCGGTTCATCCAGATGTAGAGGGTCGTAAGGCCATCCTCGATGAACTGCGCGCCCCGACCATAGCCGGGAGTGACCGTCGGCGTCAGCTGCAAGCGGCCGTCACGAACTCGTGCCACGAATTTCACGGCCTCGGCGTGGAGATGAACCAAACATATAGCGGACCGGGCGTGTACGCCGCCGACGAAGCGGAACCCTTCAGGCATTCTGGGCGTGCCGCTAAGGATCCTATTCTTTACTACGAAAAGAGCACTTATCCTGGATGCCGTCTGCCCCACGTCTGGCTCAACAGGGCCATTCCAACCGAGCCTGTGTCGACCATCGACCTCGCCGGCCACGGTGCATTCACCCTTTTCACCGGTGCTGGTGGGGAGCCCTGGTATGGAGCCGCCAAATGTGTCTCCGACAAGCTCGGCATCCCGATTGCGGTACATTCTATTGGATTCCGTCAGCAGTGGGAAGACGTTTACTATGACTGGGAGCGGGTTCGCGGTGTGGAAGAATCTGGGGCTGTCTTAGTTCGACCTGATCGCTTCGTTGCTTGGAGAGCTCCGGCGGCATTGGAAAGTGAAGAGGCATGTGAGCGAAAACTCTCAGATGTCCTTGGTTCAATACTTGGACGCAGCGCTATCTGAGCCTCGGAGTTGACTGTAGAGTATTTTTGTTGATGGGACAGTCTCGGCGATTGTTGAGTTTGGAGCAACGGTTGATATTTCAATTGCATACCCACGTATGTCGATACACACAATATACTCGAGAGGGTTACATGCCCAGGCCTCCGATCCCCGACCCCAATTGAAAGTCCCGTGAGCTGTAAGGAAGAAGGTCCATGCGCTCTGTTTGAATTGTAATATGGATCTCGATGCCGAGTCCTCGCGTTTGTAGAATTCGTGTAGACTGCAGTTGAGACAAGCCATTCATGCACTATCATGCCGTGTACCCATGAGAAAGGCCCGCCATTACATCCGATGAATACCACACAAGATTGTCCAAAAACAACTCGTTTGGCCATGGATCGGGGTATGGTTCTGCAAAGGCAGCTTCACCCAGCGAGGGGTGGAATTTCGGGGCTATCCCTGATGGGAGTTCCACATCTTCCGGCAGCAATGCAGGGTAGCTAGTATTTGGATCACCGACTGATGGCTGAGACGTATTGCACAAAGAACCCTTGAGGCCCGACCAGTCCGGGAGAAGCTGCTCCCCACACATTGAAGCCATGATGGTTTCGGTGCTTGCAAAAGATTGTGTGTCACCATGACACGGTTGACCATCAATCTGAGTGTCCCTGGCACTACTGCTCCTCTCCTGTAGTTCGAGTTCCCTGTGTCGAGAATCGAGCCTTGCCTGCAGAGAATCGAGGTTTTGCAGTAGAGCGCGTGGTGTCTCCCAGAACTGATTGAACTGAAGATACGATCGGCGCAGGAGGTCGTATTGGCGTTGTGTGAGAGTCGAGTCATGGTCGCGCAGGGTGAACCTCTTGAATACCTGCAAAGCGGCCGCGATCCACGTAGTGCTCGCGTAGTAGGGATTGACATATCGCACATGGTCTTCGGGACAATTTGACAGTAACCGCAGTACCATATCGCTTGCTTCCAGATAGTTTCTGAACCCTTTGCCGAGGAAAGATCTTTCGTTAAGCTCGGTATCTCGTCCAGAATATTCGTGGCTAGTCTGGGACGATGGTAAGGGGATCAGCCCTTCAATGATGTCGGCAAAAACATAATTCTGGTAGATCATAAAGCATGCCGAAGCGCTCATCATATGTATGCTGTATTTTCCGGCGCTCGTTCGCCGCGTCGCATATGGATCGTCACCTTCGCCCAAGGCAAAAGACAGATATTCGCCCCGGTAGGCCAGTGCAGTGGGAAGGTTCTCTCTTACATCTTGATATGCTTTGACGAGGCTAGAGAGCTGATCCGAGAATCCTTGTGCCTTTAGCCGGTAGTCCTGGCTGTAATACTGGGCAAGCTTCGGGACATCGTTGGGAAGGTCGGCGTTCGAGGTGATTCCTTTGATTCTTTCCTGGCACAGTAACCGTCCCTCGTGCATTAGGGATGCCAGGAGATATGCCCATGCAGCCGAGTTTTCATTGCCCGAGTGCTTGAGTCTTTTCCATCGTTCTTCAGGACTGCCAAGGAGAAGGCAGGAAGCCTGATACGTGTTTGTAAACCAATATTCGTCCGCAACGGGAAGAAACGTTTCGTTCGCGCTCCAGTCGATGGCAGTAGGTGCGCGCTGGATGGTCGAGGCAAAGATATCCATCTCCCACAAGGCCCACCAACAACGACGTCGCTCTTCGTCCGAGGACCACATCATGAGCTCACTGTCGCGGGTTGGTACTTTCTCGTATCCTTTACAATCGATCAAATGCAGTCGCAGCTCGTATGCAATGCGTACACCGGTGCCGACAAGCCTCCAAGCAGGTCCGTATACTCCATTGACTAGCTTATAGAAGCCCGCCAAAGTGATGGCTTGTAGGATGCACAGAGGAGGCGCATTACTCGTGCAAGCTTCCAAGGACGAATTGATATACTGTAGAGAGAGCGAGTGAAGTTCTTGGTGAGAAATACTTTCAGAGTTGTCGCCTGGAGGGAGTTTGTCCTCCGTCGCCAACCTCGAGGAGAGAGAAAACATTGCTGCGAACAGGGCAATGAGATGATTTCGATCTTGGATTCCACGTATCTTGTCTGGAAAGGAAGGTTGGTGAAAAATGGATAGAGACTTTAATCCTGCCACCATCTCAAAAAAGAGATCAATCCTACAACAAGCCCGTGCAGGTCAGCTTAACTCGTACACAACAAAGCACGCAAGGCAGGAAGTGGTTTGCGGGATAGGAACAGTCCAAATCCAGCCGCAATGTGAAGACGAATGCGAGCCTGACACCTAAGAAAAGAGGGAGGCGTTCGCTCACCCTGACTGAGCTTGTTGAATGGACATACGGAGCACCTCGCATGCCTTGGCCAAGTTCTCCTGGGCTCCCGCAAGAACCAGCAAGAATCCGGGTTGAGAGCGTTCTTTCTGAACAGGCGATGGGCCAAGAGAAGGTTCATGAGACGGATACAGGATGCTGGAGAGACTGATGGCTTTGGCGAAGTTCAAGGCTGCTACATGGCGTGTTGTGATGTTGGGCGGGGACTCTGAAGAGGGATTGACGGGAAACTCTTCTGGTGATGAGAGGATACCGTCACCTTCCCCTGGGAAGGTTGTAAGGCCACCCCGAGAGGGTTGATGTTGAAGCGCACCGTTGTGAGAAGCGCTTGAGAAGTGTGATTGAATAACCTCTTGCCCTGTTGGAGGGTACGATGATCGTGCGCAGCGACGACGATGACTAGAGCCTAAATGATAGTAAGCTGTCGAGCTCCCACGATGTCATATCAGCATTCTACCCACCTAATTTAGGCCCTGGTTTCAAGCGGGCCGTAGGATATGTACAGGAGTTGGAGGTCTCTCGGCAAAACGAACAGGATGGAATCTGTCGATCGCTGCAATCACGCAAACGTTAGCAACGACGCGCGAACGGGGCTGCGGCGAGCTTGCTGACCATCTGGACTTCCTCCTGCAAATCTGATCAGTCTCTTGTCATTGGCACATAGTAAGCCGCGACGAGAAAACAACAGACCGGGCCATCTATGGTTCCTCTATCGGGGTATCTTTCTCGGCGCTGAGCATCTTCCCTAGGTCTATCGCGCAGAAACTGGGGCACGCCACTTACTTTTTGCACAAATCACATGCCAGAGCCGACCTCGCTGTAGCACGTGTTTTGGTGTCTACAGCAGCCATGAGATCAAATTGGTGGGCAAAGGTATCATAGACAAATATGCAACCTGGGATCGCAAGACTGTTGTTTCAACAGTAGCGAGAAGACTGGGTGGGTGGGATTCAGAAAGTACAGACCTTGCTTCCCTTGGCACCTCTCCAGTTCTCCCCGAATCCCCGGCTTTACCCCACTTTGCCACTAGATAGGCACCAACAATCCCCGCATCGGTTCCGGGACCGCATGGAATGCATGCTGCGTTCATTGGCTGGTTCACTCGTAGACTCCTATTAAAGTTGGGCTAATGACCTACAGCTGAGTTTCTATTGGCTTGATATGCAAATATAGTGGGCCGTAATGGAGCACCTAGCAGAGACTAGTCTGGATATGTCGACGATGAGGCGGGATAAAAAATCTCGAGCTCTGGTAGCTATCGCATGCAGGGCGACGGGATCTTGGTACTAGGCAGGACTTATTCCATGGCTTGGGCTCATCATTGGTAGCTGATCGTTTTGATTGTAAGAGGCAGCATTCAGATCGGAGGCTATACTGGCTTGATCGGTGGACAGCTCAATCCACGGCTGGCGAGATAGACTGAGACACTTATTTGCTGTAAGGTTTCCCAGAGCCAGATCACGGTCAGGACTCTACCAGCTGGCGTTGTGAAGGTCAGTACCCTTTAACTAGGAGATTCTATCGCCCTGCCGGGTGCACTGGAGGTGATGCTCATGGTCGGACACCTGTCTGTTCCGTTTTCTTCGCAGGGGCTTGTTTCCAACAACTGACATGCTGACAAGGACCCGATTCTACCGCGCTTGCGCGATGACGGGGAAGAAACCCAGTTTAGCTGCAGGGCAGCAGTGGCAAATTCAGAGCACTTGGCATGGCATGTCCTGAGCCTCTCAGCACGCGAGGCTCTGATGGTGAGTGGCGTTTTGGGACTATGGCGCTGGCTGCGTCACCGCCAATTGGTTGTCATTTGGCTGTGCATTCTTCAGGAAGACTGACTGCCTTTCCCAGCAGCCACAACGGCTGACATTGCCTTCGTCCTGCTGTAGGATTACAATCTAAGGTCGCCTCTTGTTGATATTGCCTTGAAGATACCTGTTGCTCATTTGCTCCGTGAAGAGTTTTACTATATGCAGGCCAAATCTCTTCAATTCCTTGATTACAACACCTCATTTCTGGTCACACCAGCAACTGCACCTTGCAGCCCATTCACACCATGTGGTGACAACAGAGATATACTCGCTCACCCGCAGCTGCTTCGCCCGTCTGCTTCCTTACGGCCCACTCTGTTGCTACATGGGAGGCACCTACCACCAAACTGGGCACAATCTGCCACCACTATAGCGCCAGCTGGCATACGCTTGCCACTACCTGCGGACTTGGTGGTGGTGGTGACGAGATCACTTTCCATCACGGCCTGCTGTGGCTTCCTCAATCTGCGTTGTGATGGGTTTCTCATCGAAGTCGGCCATGGCGTCCACCTCGACTAGGCCGTTGCCATCTTGGGCAAAGTGGGTAACAACTTCATCCCCAAACAGCTTACCTATCTCCTCCAACGTCAAGTTGCCTGTTTCCGGCAGCCACCTGTACAGCATGGCGAAGCACACAACGTCACAGGAGATAAAGACCAGGTAGAACTTCCAACCAATATTTGCAAAGGCCTTGGGTGCTGGAGCTGTGTACAAGACCGTCGCGACAAAGTACGTGAAGAGTGCAATGGTGAGACCCTTGGCTCGAATGGTGGTTGGAAATGCCTCGGAGCACCACTGTATCGTCTGATCAGCAACAGTTTCTGTCTCTGCTTGACGGGAGGTCACTCACCACGAACTGAGTTGGATCAAGGAACAGTCCCAATCCTAGCCCGAACATCATGAAGAAAAACATTGCAGCACCGTTGCCAGCCTTATGTGAGGTACCCGCATACTTCCAGCTGAGGAGAGCGGCAGCAAGGAGACATAATCCGGTCCAAACAATACTGATGACTGTTTTGCAGTACACATTAATTGATAGGGCTATATGACAGTGGAACCCGACTCAACAGGATGAACTTACGCAGCATTTTTCTCCGCCCAACCCGGTCAATGATAGCCGCATTGACAAAGTTGAAAGTAACCGCAATGACAACATAAATGGCATACATCAGGAGGGGCATGGCACCCGTCATTCCTGCCGATTGAGCGACGAGAACCAGGTAGGAGGTGATCCCGTTATAGCCAGATGACTGCACGGCGAACATGATTAAGATGGCCAGGAGAGTGCGCTTCCTCCATGACGGAACAGTGAACATGCGGACAAAGGATGCTTTCATTTCCTTGTCGTGCGCCACTTGTCTCTTGATCTGGATGAATTCCGCGTGGGCCGCTGCATCTCGGGGGTCATTGGGATCGTGGTGCACTTTCTGAATAGTTGCCCATGCCTCTGAATCGCGGCCTACCCAAATTGACCATCTGGGAGATTCAGGGATCCAATAGCACACAGTCACCAGCCCCAGGGGAGCTAGTGGAGCCAAACAAAGAGGCATGCGCCATTGAACTGTGTTGTTCGTGGTGAAATACGTGCCGTAGCCAATCCATGCGGAGCTGCAAATGAAGTCAGAGGATGATTCGGCACGTCCGCCGACGAGGCTCAATACCTGAGATAGCCCAAAGAGAATCCAACGCCAACCAGAGCACTGAGAAGGCCTCTACGATGGGGTGGAGCGACCTCCGCCACATACAGTGGGACCAGAGCCAGGAGTTGGCCTACTCCTAGGCCGGTGATGAATCGAAAGACGAATAACATGGGGATGTTGATAGAGCCGGCCACAACTGCAGAGCCAACCACTGAAATGGCACCGCCGAAAGCGAGAGCTTTTCGTCGGCCATACCGGTCACTCGTGTAGGATTGTATGATGGCTCCGAAGGCGGCTCCAGCGCAGAAGAGCCCACTGATCGCTCCGATCAAAGTAGCCGTGTAGTCCGAGGTTGCTACATACACAGATTAGCCAAAGAGATAGACAGGATGGCAGTCCATATCAACCCACGGTCCAAATCAAAATAACTGAAAAACCCAGGTTCTCCAATGGAAGTGACAAAGACCGCATACGAGAAGCCGTAAGAGTATGCGCCGAGGCAGGCAGCGCAGACAATCAAGATATTATACCGCGTGAGTCGCAACATCTTGTCACCAATGTCACAATGTCCGTGGAAGGTCGGGAGTATTCGCCAGCCTTCAAACTGGGCCCATGGACAAGAGTCGCATCTTTAAATGAAATGGGACTCCTATCTTGATGCTCCTAAGTCTCAGACGGAGCATATCTGAGGCTTTAGCCGGGGCTCCCCCAGGCTTGGAGATCCACCGACAGTTCCGCGGGGTCCCCAGTTCGGAAATGAACCTTGCTAAAACGCAATACTCACCACTGGCAATCCGAGCGATGATGGGCCGAAACGAGACAATCAGCAGGGTGCCCAGCGAGTCACTTGTCGCCAAACTACCTCATATTTGCCTGGAGGCTGCAGCTAGAGAGGAGAAGAGGCACATCCTCGTCACTATTGCGCTTGGAGTCGGACCTTGGAAGTGCGCAGCCCTCTTCCTCACGGGCTGATAACGGGCAGATAACGGCTTCTTCTTCTTGCCTACTGCGGTTCTGACGGTCAATATGTGCATGAAGATCTTTAACAAGTGTGAGTAAGGGCTCTTCAGGTCAATAAAATTCTGTTTTGCTCTGTTTTGCCCGCGCCCCGCAGCCACCCGACCGAGCATTCTATACGATCGTCTGTCAGCGTGACCATAATCGACCACCGCACTTGGCAGACTGGAAATTATATCCTCCTGACAAGACCTCGGAAGACCTCGGTGGTTCGTGCTGGTCGTAACGGGGCAGAGGTGAAGCTATTAAGAAATGTTGTGGTGGCATTGACCAAAAGGGTCTTTCGTGTGGATTCTGGCAGCAGCTGGCGGACTGGTGGCAGTAAATACGGTCAGACCAGCTCCGGTCACTGATAGATGGGTGCACTGGCCTGAAGCAGTAGAGAAGGTCATTGAGAATGTATGCGTGACTTGAACATTGTTCGCCAGCAGTGCGAAGAGGCACGGATATCACTTCTGTCGTCTATTCTAAGCCACATTTTCGATGCTCCCCACGAATCAATGTCTGAGAATTTACCTCTTATGTCCTCCAGGTAGCAGTCTTGCAGGCATAACATAGTTCATTTGCTATAACTTGAAACGGGTTTTCGCTATTGCACATTCA